CCACCCTGAAGGGGGCGTGGCCAACCTGCCAACCACCCCAGCCTCTCACCCAGGCTGGCCCCACCCCCCAAGGTGACCCCCACCCTGATCCGGAACCCCCTTCAAGGCAAACCAGCTGGCCCCCACCCATGCACCAGGTCTCTCTCCTATATAATAAAAGGGTAATATGCAAATTGACCCTAACAGCAGAGCCACTGGGAATCACTGGTCACTATGACACACACTGACCACCTGAGCAGGCCGGCATGGAGAGCAGTTGGGAGCAATAAAGCCTGCAAAGGGGAGCAGTTGGGGGAGAGAAGGCCAGCATGCAGAGTGGTTAGGGGTGATCAGGCAGGCAGGCAGGTGAGCGGTTAGGAGCTAGTGGTCCCGGTCCTATGGGATCAGGCCTAAACCAGCAGTCGGACATCCCCCAAGGGGTCACAGATTGGAGAGGGTGCAGGCCGGGCTGAGGGACATCCCGCCCCCATGTACGAATTTCATGCACCGGGCCACTAGTATGTACATAAGTTCTCTTTATCTACAGTTTCACTTGCTGTGGTTTCAGCTACTGCATACACTACATCTGTATGTATGTACTAGTAAAAAATATATATTGTTTTATGTTTTCTCTTTCTTTGTTGTGGTCAACTGTGGTCTGAAAATATTAAATGGAAAATTCCAGAAATAAACAATTCATAGGTTTTAAAATGCATGCCCATTTGAGCAGTGTGATGAGATCTCCGTGGAAATCTCCCTTGTCTAGCATCTCTACACTGCAGGTGCTCTCTGGGCATCAGCTACTTAGTGGCCTTCTCAGTTATCAGATCCGCTGTCGTAGTATCATGATGCTTGTGTCCAAGTCACCTTTATTTTACTTAATTATGGCCCCAAAGCACAATGACGAACACTGCTTCTGTGAATATCCTTGCATGTAACACCCAGCACACACATGTAACCACTAGTTTCTCTAGAAAATGCCAAATTATTTTCCAAAGTAGTTGTACCAATTTATATTCCAGTTACAAATCCATACACTTATCTTCTGTTTTTTTAAATTTTGTCAATCTGGTGGGTGGGAAGTGTTATCTCTGTGATTAATTTGCATTTCCCTGATGTGACTGATACTGTTTTCACATTACTGACAAAGTTTCTACATCTATAAAATGTTGTCAAATCTTCTGTCTATTTTGCTATTGGGTCGTCTTTTTCTTATTTAATTAATAGAGTTTAAAAATATATAGTTTGGATATTAATCTTACATATTTATGTATGATCACAAATGTTTTTCCCCAATGTGTGCTTTAGTTTTCATTCACTTTAAGATGTATTTTGTTGAACAATAGTCAGCTGAAAAATTACAAACATTATTTTCTTGGTGAAATATGAGGCTAAGCTATGTGAGAATGAAGAAGACAGAAGTGGAATAGGGTGCTTGGAATAAATGTTAGGCACTTCCAATATGATCAATGGCAAAAGGAATGAATTAGGAATAAGAAAAGATCCCAAAAGTATTAAGGGGCTAGCGAAGACTGGTGGGGAAAGCAATATGGCTGACTGAGTTGGTGTCAATATACAGCAACACAAAGTGCCTGCAGAGGAGTACCAAGGAAAGGGATTTGATTTCCCCCTCATTTCCTAAGAGAAAGCAAATGTGAAGTTTAAGGCAACTTTAGTTTTACTAGTGTGTTGATTCTATCATTGAGTGTAGTTAGATCAGGGATTTGGCAAATTATACTCTGCAGGTCAAATCTGGCCCACCACTGTATTTGTATAGCATGAAAGCTAAGGACAATTTCTATACTTTTAAACAGTTGAAAAAAATCAAAGAAAGAATACTATTTCATGATCAATGAAAATTGTATAAAATTCAAATTTTAGGCATCCATAAATAATGTTTTATTGGCACACAGCCATACTTCCTTCTGATACTGAGCTATCTTTGCATACCTAGGATAACATGTGTAAAGTAACAAGCCTGCACTTTTCTGTTCTTGTGTCGTATTTACCTTGCTTAGCAGCAAGATTACTTTGCCCTTGGTAAATAAGCTGTGGCCCCAGCTTTTACTCTTTGCATTTTCTACAATAATTTAAATAAAATAGGAACTAACTGTTTCTTGGAAATTTGGGAGATATCTGTAAACCTATTTGGGCCTGGAGTTCTTTGGGGAGAAGGAGTATTTAATATTTCAATTGTTTAAAAATACTTATTGTCCAATTCTTATTTTCTCATGATAATTTTGATATTTATATTTAGAAATATATACCTGTTACAAAACTATGTTATTTTAATAATTCTTTACCCCATCTGTATTATTAGATCTGTGGTTCTTTTTTCTTTTAAAAATATGTTTTTATTGACTTTAGAGAGAGAAGAAGGGACTGAGATAGAAGTAGAAACATTGATGAGAGAGAAACATTATTGACTGGCTGCCTCCTACATGCCCCCACTGGGAATCAAGCTCAAACCTGGGCATGTGCCTTGGCTGGGAATTGAACTTTGACCTCTTGGTTCCTGGGTCAAAATTCAACCACTGACCCACACCAGCTGGGCTATTTTTTCTAGATTGTTTTATATTTTATTTTTCTGCCTTAACTCATTTTTTATTAGATTGCTAGTAATCTATTTATCTTATTAACTCTGCAAAGAACCAGTGTTTTTGTTTTATAATCTTTTATAAATTCAACATACAAAACTTAGCATCATTTCTCTACACCAATAAAAATAAACAATGTAGTCAAAAGAGATACCATGCAGATAACCACAGCATAATGAGATTAGGAAATAACTTAAAATATATAACCTTCCTATGGAGAAAAACATTTTAAACCTCTAACAAAAGGCAGAAGTTGATCTGAATAAATAAAGGTATATTAATGTTGTTAGGCAGATTAATTTAATATGCCAATTCCTTTCATATTAACCTCTACATTCAATTAAATCCCAATTAAAATCATAGTTATACTTTTTTAGGAACTCAGTAGATATTTTTAAAAATTTACATGAAAGAATCAATATACATGAATAGTTATGTTAACCCTGAGTTTAAAAAAAAAACACAAAAAAACAGAAAGGAGAGGAACCTAGCCCTATCAGATATTGAGAAATACAGGCATACCTCAGAGATATTGTGGGTTTGGTTCCAGACCACTGCAATAGAGTGCATATTGCAATAAAGCAGGTCATAACCTTTTTGCTGGTGGAGGGTTTGCCT